AGAGGGAAGGATAAGGTACTTTTTAATAATGGTAAACTGAAGTTTGTGTTTTGCTAACACAAATTAATTAATGTTAACTGCACAAGAGGGAAGGATAAGGTACTTTTTAATAATGGTAAATTGAAGTGCAGGGAAGTTGAATTCTTTGCTGAAAGACCAAGCTCACACTGAACCCAGACTTTGCTCCTAACAGACTGATCCTTCTGCTTCCTGCCAACAGACTTCAGGGTTTTGGGAGCAGAACGATGGCTTTTCTCTTTTTATACTGCCTCTAGAAAAGTGAGCACAGGACAGGGCATGGAGATCCTAACCCAAACCCACACAAGCAGTGATCCAAAAATAAAGCTGCAGGGAACCGAGGGAGTGCTGCAAGGTCCCAGCAGAGAACAGAAAATCTGTAAGAATGTGAGTCAGAGCTTCAGGAATGAGCCTGATGAATACATAGATTTGCTAGAGTGTTTGAGCAAAATGTTTTGGAGCATATACAGGCTTCACTCTTAGTCAAACGCTGCCTGAGCAGAAGTGACCACACCTTCTATGAAAATTCTAATTAAAAACAGAGCATGGCTTTTTTAGATGCAACTTGTTGCTCGAAACTGAACCCCAGCCCATTTGTAGGATTCAAATTCACCCCTGTCTAAAATGCCAGCAAACAAGAACATTCCCCTCTGCCCTGGCTTGCTACTTTACTCTGTGCGTGGACACAAGATGAAAACAACTACAAACCAACCTAAAACATGCCCCTACAGCCACCATCCTCTGGTGGCAGCACTCTGAGCTCTGCCAGGGCTTCCTGCAGGTACTCCCTGCCCAGGGAGAATAGAGCTGGCCAGAAAAGAAAGCTTCCTGCTGAAGGTGAAGGAAAGAAGGGATGTGAATTTCATGTCATGGTACCAGGGGGACAGACTGAGGGTTTTGTCACTGTTAATGAAAGAACACAGGAAGGAAATGTAGGGATGTAACACTCTGAGTGCTGCCGGTGAGGAAAAACTGCACAGGGAACACCCAGCTTGTCTTGGAGGTGATCTGAAGTGATCTGGGCGATGTGAGGACCACACTGCACATCCTGCACAGCCGCTTTCTAAAGAAATATCTGACGTGTCTCAAGTTTTCTGCGAAATACCTGAGCTCACTGTAAAACATCTCTGCTGATCAGCAGCCTGATAAACCACTACACAGCATCTGCCTTGCTCCCCTCCTCCCCAGAGGACATTTCTGTGCACCAAAAATAATTTCGAGCTGCTGTATCCAGCAGACTTCGGAGTGTCAGATGTGGTTAGACAGTTACTATTTGAATAATGACAATCATTTCTCTTTGCAAAGCTCAGCCTGACAGCTGGAAAGATCTCAGTCTAAGCTGATACCACTCAAGCTACACAGCCACAATCTGTGTGTGGAATTGAGCCTGGTGTCTGTGGCCCATGGCAGCCCTGTGGCTCTGCAGGAGGAGCACAATCAGTGCCCCAGCCCTGGCTCACCCCCTGACCCTGCCCCAGCAGGGCATTGCAGACAGTGCTGCAAAGAACTACATTTTGGGCTGGGTTTGTGCTGTAAAGAGTTAATCTCAGTGCTCTGAGGGTGGTGGAGGAACTACATTCTATTTGTCAACATATTTATGTGGTTGTTTGGGTAACTTTTACCATCGTGGGCGGTTTGGTTATGAATAATATTAAGATGAGGCCTGGGCTGAAAGGAGCTTATCACTGTGTCACCCCATGGCTTTCACTTGCATTTGAGGCTGGTCCCTGCTTGCCAGCACCAGCCTGGACACCTGATGCACCCCCAAGGTCTCCTGCACTCAGGGACACTCCTGCCACTCCTCACCCCAAAGTAACTCCAGCAGCAATGAATCTCTGAGGCAGAGGTGTGTAACAAAGGTTTCCCTGGCACTTTTCATGAACAGTCCCCTCCTCTGGGGATTCTTCCCAGTATTTGATATCAGAAAGTTACAGCTATATCTATTTTACAGAGAAATATGGAGGGGTAGTGTGTGAAGGCAGTCATGTGTGGCAGTGCTGAACTTGCATCAGTCCCTAATGGGTGCACATCCAAATGCACCCTCTCTGACTGGGGAAAGGAGCCTTCCTTCCTGTTCTGTCACTCTGGCTGGCAGGGCAGGGCTGGGAAGCTGCAGGAGGCACCACGGGCACCTCCTACCTGAGGCTGCACAGAAAGAGAAAAGGGGCCAAAGTCTCCTTCCAGAAAGCAAGGGGCAGCTCTGCACATCTGCAGCAGGGCCAGCAACCAGCTACAGCTCTGCTGGGATCACCAGGGGGCTGGGCAGGGCACCAGCTGGGCACCGAGCACTCCTGGCACATGGCAAAGAGATGGTAAATCCTTGCCATCACCTGCCTTGGGCTGGTTTGGCTGCACTCAACTCGAGAGCCTGCTCCTGCAGAGGGGAGAACAGCTCTCATCTCTTCAAGGCAGGTTCAATGTGCTGAATTCCCAGTGTTTTGTGCCCTGTGGAGCAGTGCAGGCTCTGAGCAAAACCAAGCCATGGTCTCAGGAAGGACAAATGACATCTTTTTACAGCAGGGAAGAGAAGAAAACAATGAGGGCTGCTGCCAGCAGTGACTTCAGGAAGCTGAGAGGGGTGCAGAGAAATGACAACAGGGTCAGCTGTGGGATATCCTGCTCTGCTCACTGCCAGGACAGCCCCAGCACTCTCAGTGCCCACTCTGAGAGGCACCAGCTCCAGGAATGAGGAACTGCCAGCGTGGTTCATGGCCAGGTCACTGCACAAACTCAGAACAGAACAGAAACAAAGCCCAGAGCACCGAGGTGAGTGTTAACCATGGAGGCAGGGCTGCTGAGAGGAGACACGAGAGCACAGGGACGAAAGCTGGATGTCAGCAGAACTCTGGAGAAAGGAGAACAAGGCAGGGGGAGCAGGAAGATGGGGGAGGCAGGAAGAGGGAAGGGAAGTGAGAGACACCAGCAGTGATTGCCCAAGAGCCTGGGCAGCAGCAGCACTTGGCTCGTGCCAAGCCTGCCTGGGCCAGCACCAGCTCCGTGTCTGCCCGTGAAAATCACTGCAAGACCTCACAGCTCACTTTATCTCACAAGGGCTTTCTGGATAAAAGGGATTTAAGGGCAAAGCCTCCGTAATCCTTTGGGTTTGCTTTCTTTTAATGCCATAAAGCACAAACCCAAACTTTCTAGTCAGGAAAAACATGGCTTTTGTTATGTTCTGAGTCACTTTTCCCCAGCAGCAAACAATGTGGCTTTTCAATTCAAGTCCTGAACATTTCAGAATGAAATGCTTTGCAAAGCCCTAAAGTAAATCACAATTCTCTAAGTCACACTTGCAGCTGATATAAACTCACTGAGGTCAGTAAAGAGACTGCATGTGGCCCATCTTGCCTGGCCTGACATGGGTGGCATTGTTGATAAAGCAATCTCTAGCTGCAGTCAATTGAAGATGATCCAGGCAGCCAAGGAGAAACCTGGGATTTCATTATTAATTGCTGTTCTGCCTAATGGCTCCCTTAGCAGGAGCTGAGTGCATTCTGGGTGAGCTGTGCTGCCCCTGATTCAAAACTCAGCAAAATTAACTTTGCAGTCTGTCTTGGGAGTTCTTTTAAGTGGACTATGGCTTGACTTTCAAGTCAGCTTTTACTCCAAGATTCTTTCTGTTATTTCTTTTACAAGGTGTGTACCAAGTATTTTTAGAAATGTGGAAGAATCTCTCAGCTTTTCATATTAAAATTACCCTAAATAACAGTGTTTAGTTCTCCTGTCAGAAAGACCCTCTTGCTTTGTTATCATGCCCAATTCCCTGAATGAAAAGTGAATCTCCCAAGTTAAATTTAGGACTCCTGAATGTCCTGCTCTGAGAAGGGAAGCAGTAAAAACTCTCCAGATTTCACTGCGATGGCACCGAAGCTGCATCAAGCACTCTGCAAACACAGTAACAGAGGAAAGCATCCAAACTCTGCCACAAAGCCAGCAGTGAAGGCTGCACACGATACAGAGCACTCGGACCCAAGCTCAGGAAAGCAAACCTTTCACAGGCACAATTTCACAACTCCAGGTAAGTGCAGAAAAAATCCCAAACTGCTGGGTGCTTGGAGCACATCCTGGGGCACACCCGGGAGATCAAGCCTGCAAGTGCCTGCACTGAGAGGAGAGCAGAGCTACGTTTGTGACAATCAGGTCTGTACTTCCTGCACAGGAACATCCTGCACTGGCAGCAATATTTCCAGCAGCCTCACTCCGCTCCCACTAAAATCAATGTTGGGTTTGCTGCTGCTCTCTGTGATTGCAGTGTCCAGCTGCACTATTAATTTTGCATTGATTTCCTCCTGCCAGAAACATGCTTTAATAAAAGAACCAATCAACCAGACTGCCAATAGCTGCCTACCTAAGAATAAGCAGGATATGTTCAAAGAAAGCTTTACTCTAACTTATGTTCATTCCTAAAGGCTAAATCAGCTGGCTCACAACAAAGGAACAGCATTGTTTCACTTATCAATGTCCCACTGTTCATCTAGAACATCTGCAATGGTTTTGCCTGCAGCACTACCCCATTCATTACAGGCCTTGATAGATTGCTCAATGGGCTTTTTTTTTGGTACAAAATGTACAACAGCATTTTACAAAGCGGACTTTGCCCTGATATGAAAAAATATAATAAAATAATGAAGAAGTAATTTCAGATCCGCCATTTTCCAAACTGGCAATGGAACCTTTGGCAAAGGCAGACAAAATGGGACCAGCTCAAAGTGGCACAGAGCAAGCAGAGGGGTCCTGTGGGTGACTGCCCAAAGTGCTTTGCCATCAACCAAAAATGCACCTAATGAGAGACTCCAACACAGCCTGAACGCACAGCAAATGTCCACACCCACCAAGGGACCACGCCGAGGAACAGAGCATTGAGAACTCCAACCTCACCCCTCCCTCCATCACCAAGGGGCCACGCTGAGGAACAGAGCATTGAGAACTCCAACCTCACCCCTCCCTCCATCACAGCAGCCCTGAGAGGGCACGGCACTTACCATCGTCCAGGTAGGCCTGGTCCAGGTTCTGCTCCTGCTTGATGGTCACTCCTGCGGGCAGCACGTCCTTCTGCTCACTGCCTGGTGGCCCGTTCTTGGCCGCCCGCTGGCCCGGGGCCGCCTGCTGCTGCTGCTGCTGCTGCTGGATGACCGTGGGGTACGCGCTGGGGCTGAGCCTCTGCGCCTGGCCCGCCTGCGCCTGGCCGGGCCGCGACGTGAAATTCTCACAGCACATGATGTGCTGGAACTCCTGGTGGCCGCCGCACCTCAGCTGCTGGCTGGTTGGAGAGTAGTGGATGACGGGAGACGACTGCGGGGAGTGCTGCAGCACGGCCGCGCTCTGGGCCGGGGAGCCGGCGTGCACCAGCACGGACCTGTGCGCGTCCGCCATGGCCACGGGCGCGGCCATCAGGCCGGGCTGCTGGTAGCCCAGCTGGCTGGGGCTCAGGCTCTTGCTCCTCTGGTAAATGACAGCCGGGTTCTGCTGCTGGTACCGCGAGTCGGGAGAGGAGAGGCCTGAGCGCAGCTGCTGGCAAGGAGCCATGGTGGCCACGAGGCAGGAAGGGGACTCGGTGGCCATTGAGTGCTGTGAATAGTAAGGCTGTGTTACTGTCCCCAGAGCACTGTGCACTGGACTGCAGATTAGGGCTGGATCATAGTCATCAATGGGCTCTGTTTTGATTGATGGTACTAGAATAAAGCATGCAAAGGACGTTATTCGTAACAAGCTGAGGACAAACAGAGAGCTTTTCCTTGAAGCAATAAGAGATTTAAGCCTTTTACAAGATTTGTGTGTGTACATTCATATGTCACAAGCACTGAGTTTAATAAATCACCCACATGCAACCACGGCAAAGATTCCTCAAAGCACTCTGTGCTAAGAGGTTATTGAAAAATCTTTAATGTACTAATGAACCCCAAATTGCTAAAGTTGAAAAATTCAACACTTCAGCTCCTGTTTTAATTCATTTAAGTGCTATTCTGGAACACACACCAAATAAGAAGTCATAGATAGGTGTTTCATGCAGTACTTCCAATCAATAGAAATCCCAGGACATAAACAACTGCCCATCTTTCTGTTAAATACTTAACAAGTGACCAAAGGCAGAGCTGAACTATTCCAGAGCTTTTGTCTCTGCTGCACAAATTTTCTTCAGCACTGAGAGCTGAAGACCTGTCTGACACCATCATTTAAAAGACCAGGATTTAGTAAGAGCTGGTTGAATCCTCATGGGGTAAATGGTGGTCCTCTGCATTTCCAATGACTTCTGGTCAAATCTTCCCCAAAACTCACTACAGAAACACCACACAATGGAAACCATGCAGTGGTCATGCAAAATTCCTGTCTGGAAGTAAAGATTCCTCCTCCTAAGTGGTCTGTTTTAGGGATTGTATTGAGAGAGAAGTGTGCTTCTCAATACTGTTCCAGAGCAGAACAACTGAGCACCTGCACAAACCCTTCACACTGGTGATACCCTATAGAGCTCATAAATTCAGGGAGAGCACCAGAGATTTTCAGGCTGAAGGAGAGCAAAATAAGAGTCTGAACGGATGTTTGCCTTTCCTTAGAGACAAGTCAAATTAAGACATCATTTGAAGCTTGCATAAAATGTGGTGCTGTTATTTTATGCTTTCTGCTTTCCACAAACACAATACTCTGGTTTTCTCACAGTATTTTCCTCCCAGCCAAAGCTGAGAAATTCTGGGAATCTCATTAATAATGCCGTTGCATTTATTGTGCCATGGCTCACCAACCCCCCAGAGCAAGGACATCACAAAAGCATTCGTATTTTTCTCAACTAGCCTCACTCTGAAGAATATATATTGCTTGCCTTCCTCCATTCCAAGCCCTTTCCCAGATGTGATGTTTTCTTATTGCTGGACACGTCAGAGAAGGCAACACTCGTGGTTTTCAGAGGGTCACAGCATGCCCCAGACTGAGCCTGTTCCCACTGAGGCTCTTGGCAAACTTCCACCAAGTGAATGGGGCAGCATCAGCCCATTGCCAGAATAACAGATAACTGACACCCCAAACTGATGGAAATTCCTCATCATAAATCACAGGCATCTTTAAACCAAGCAGCTGTTGAGGGCTGAGCTGAATTAAATTAGCAAATTTAGATCCTCAAAGAACAGCAAGAAAACGACAGAGCAGAAAATCAAATCCCGCTCATGAACTTAGATGACAAGTGGCTCTGTCCCTGAGAATTACCTGGGTGATAGGTGAAATGCTGGGGCTGGCTTCTTTTTCTTTTGCCATTGATGACATAGAAGTTCACCTTGACGGCTGTGCGGATGTGCTTGTTCCTGTACTCGGGAATCTCCACAAAAAGCATGCTCTGAAAGAAATAATGCAGGGGACAGCAAGGGATCAGCACCTGAGGCTGGGCAGGGTTTGACTGCAGCTCCCCTTGCTATAGCCAGAGCAAGAGGAATCTCCCTACTCATCCCTATAAAGGTATGAAAAAAAGGGGCAGATGGTGGAAGACCAGAAGATTTTTGGCACTGACAAGTTGGTTTCTATGGACTATCCCTCCTGCACTTGGAGAGAGAAGTCTCAGCTACAAATAAAACACAAAATGGTGACAAATGCAGAAGCTCTGCTAATCCCACAGAGCCTGATAAAGGAGCGTGCACTGCAGAATTCCCTCTTTTTGTCAGAATAACTCAGTTATTCTGTAGGCTTTTGGTTTATCCACAGGCAGACCCTGCTGCCTCCCGGCAGGCACAGCCCATGGCAGAGTCACTGCTGGCTCCTGAGAGCTCTGCCTGCCCACCAAGGTCCCAGCAAGCCAAGGGAACAGAGGGGCTCCTTCCCTCCAAAGAGCACTGGAAATGCTGCAGGAAAACCCCGAATTTGGGCACAGCACCCAGGGCTGGCACAGGGGCAGCACCCGCAGAGCCTGGGCTGGCACCGTGGCTGTGCAGGACAGAACGCAGCAGCGACTCCCTTGGGGTCTCTCTGCAGGAATCCATCCCTCCTGCAGCACATGCACTGCTGCAGCATGTTCACTGTGGCACTGCTGCTCTTTCTGCTTCTAGAAGCCCCCCTTGAGCACAAGCTGCTGCCCAGGAGAGAACACCCCGTGTTTCATACTCACAGGCTGGCTCTTGTCTTTGTCCACCGTTGCCTCCATTTCCCAGATCTGCTGTCCATCTAGAAGAACATCACAACATTAACCTCACTGTGGGCTTTTTTTCTAAATCATAGAACTTATTAAAAAAAAAAAAGTGAGACAAATCAAAGGCATTAAGCTAGCAAAGCTCTCAAAATGGACTTGATTTCAAGCACCTTCCCAGTCCTCACAGAAAGCACCAGCATTTCACTGAAACACATCACTGAACACTTCTCTTGCCAGGAAAGAGCTTACATCCATATTAAAATTCAATGTTTATGTAAAAATTAGCCAGACTGAGGAATGAAATATTTAGCACAGGTGCAACATCTGCTTTTTACCAGGCCTGAGTCCAGCCAGCCTGACTGGTGGAGGGCACCAGAAGGTCACACAACTCGTGAATGGTCACACTGGGTCAGCAGCTCAGCAAACCTTCTGCTGCTCTGAGCCAAGACCACTTGGATTCCCACAGAATGCCACTGACAGCCCCAAAGCCGTGGTAAAGCACCAAATATTCACTGTACTCAGTGCAAAAACACTCCACTGCATGTGGGACAGCCTCTGCCCTGAACCCCTGCAAGCTTTGCTGCCCTTAATTATTGCATCCATGCAGCTCGTCCCCATCCTGAGTTACACAAAATTACATTTAGAGAGGAAAATAAAATTTGATCCCCCTGTATGGAGCACCACCACAGTAACCCCTGCACTGTAAGAGTGTATCAGCAGTGACAGGACACTCATTTACAGACTGGGTACTTCCTCTGGTTACAAACACTTCTTAAATATAGAAACATGTTTTGCAATGCTTTCCTTATTTTTTTTTTTTAGATTTTAATCTTTACCCCTTTGCTTTTCATATTCCATTGAGCCTGTTAGCCAAGCAATTTGCAGAAGAAAAGTACTGATGGGAGGGAAAAAAATTGCTTCATACCTTTCTGAAAGCTTGCTTTTAAACTGGCCAGGGGACACATATCCCAAGGACCCGATGGACTGGGAATGCTGCAGCCAGGAGCTGCTGTCTGCTTTAGGGGGAGCAGCTCTGCCTGCTCTGGGGGTTCCCCAGACTGGGCAGAACAAGGGGGAAAATCTCCTAAACCCAGTCCTTCTCACAGAGCTTTTTATTTTTCCCAGCTCTTGGAAGTTCTGCAAGAGCTGCTTTTGTCCTCTGTTATTTAAGCACTTCTGCTTCTGGCAAAAAGGGAAATGAAAGAGTATTTTAAAATGCATTTTGCATTTCTTCTGTTGTTGTGCTCTTTGTTCAGACAATGAGCTGACAGATGTGCTGGGCTCTTGGGCAGCCTCTTCCCAGGACACAACCCCAGGGTCCCTTCTGTCCATCCCCTGGGACAGACCCTCACCTGTCCCACACCCCACACCTGGGACAGCCCTGCTCACACCCACTGGGGACAGGCAGCTTCTCCTGGAGCTCAGGGCTCTCATCCCTCCCTCAGGATGGGCTCCTGGGGCAGGGGGCACCAGCGCTGCTGGGCTCCCTCACCCCAACCTCCCTGGGCAATGGTGGGATGGGCTCCTGGGGCTGCTGTGGGGCAGGGGGCACCAGCCCTACTGGGCTCCCTCACCCCAACCTCCCTGGGCAGTGGACACAGCCAGGGAGGGGCTGGAAGTGTGGCCCCATCAGGAGATCCCAAAGATCAGGGATTCCCCATCAGGAGATCCCAAGAGCTGGAAGTGTGGCCCCATCAGGAGATCCCAAAGATCAGGGATTCCCCATCAGGAGACCCCCAAGAGTTGGAAATGTGGCCCCACCAGGAGATCCCAAAGATCAGAGATTCCCCATCAGGAGATCCCAAAGATCAGGGATTCCCCATCAGGAGATCCCAAGAGTTGGAAGTGTGGCCCCATCAGGAGATCCCAAAGATCAGGGATTCCCCATCAGGAGATCCCAGGCTCCCAGCTGCAAGGAGGGAACACTGAACAATCCCAGTTTTCTCTGTCTCTTTTGAAGTTCCCTCCTGTGAGTCAGGTGTCGTTTCCACCCTGGGCTGAGTGGCTGCTGGGGCTGGCATGGCCTCGGCAGAGCTCTGTGGCACTGCCCACCCCCAGGGACTGCTGCAAAGCATGGAAATATTCCATTATTTAATGTCACTTAACATCAGCACCGCTCTGGCCATCTCTATATTCCATCTGTACCCCTGTCAATGCAGCCAAATCCTTCTGCTGTTGAGACAGAAACAGGGAAGGGGGAGCCAAAATACTGGGGGTTATCCAGGGAATCCTTGTCTGATTATGAGGCAGCAAATGCTCAGTGGGGACACTCCTCTTACAGGTGAGCTTTGAGAAAAGAAACCATCACAGTGTGTGTTAAGGAACCTCCCCACAATCCTAAACATCCCAAGGGATAAGTTTTTAGAGTTCTCTGAGGAAAAGAGGAGGGAAAAGGAAACAAGAAAATACATCATAAAGTGAGAGCTCTGACAGAGACACACATCAGAGCTGTCTCAGCAATGCCACATGAAGATGTCCTGACAACAAGGACAGCCAAGCAGGAATGTTTGACACTGGTTTTGCTCCAGGCAGAATGTTTTCATCTTTGTTTCTGTACTGCCAAATTCAAACAGTCTGTGCAGATACAACAGCACTAACTTCACAAAGAAGGTGGAAATCAAAAGGGTTTGTTGGTCCAAAATGCATAAACTAAAGCAGAAACGGGCCTCCAAGTCATGTGCCACATCCAAGGGGCCTGTGGAACACATGCAACCACAACCACAGGGGATCTGATTTAGTAACTGAGCCACTGAAATTGCACTAAAAGCTGATGAAGCCAACCAGAAAAATCAAATGATGTTCAGGCTGAGTCCAAAGTCTGTGTGGGTCAAAAGTAAGAATGAGAAAAGGCAAACAAGAAATAAATGTATTTGGGGTTATCATTCCAACAATGATGGATGCTTCTGTTTGGATGTATTCCATATTTGTGGCAGCTAAACAGGTTTCTAACAAATCTGTCAGCAGCAGCAATCCCCGTTCTTTGAGCCCTGCTGAATTTAAGCTCTTTGCAGCTCACTCCCTGACCTTTATGCTTCAATATGATGATGTGGCTCCATCTGTCTCACTGCTTCACTTCAGCTCGAGACAATCAATATTTGCTTTTCCTTCAGCCGCTCTGGATATGCACATTATGGGGAGCTTTTGGCAGAAGGATGAGGGAGGCTGTCAGGAAAATGAAAAATTCAACTGCATTCACAAGTCTCTCTCTCTACTTTAACCTATTCTTTTTCCTGGTAATGAAAAGAAAGCTTTTGGTTATGCACACCCTGGGAGCTAATGGAGAGCAGGAGGAATAAACTGAGAAGTCTCAGGATCATTTCAGGAAATTCTGAATAGAGAAAACCTGCACCAAACTGTCAACACATTCATCACCTTTACAATGTGCATAAATGTAAAATTTTTCAGGAGAAAATTATAGTGGGTGTTTGCAGAAAGTCCTCAACAAAAACGGGATTCTGACTGTAAGGATGTGCTAAAAATCCTAAGGCTGATGTGACAGTGGAGCACAGCTCCAGTGCAAAACCTGTCACACCAAAGGCCCTGCCCTGGAAGCCAGGTGGTGCCTGGGCACCAGAAATGTGTTCAGCTTTGAGCAGGAGGCTGTGCTCAACCCTCCAGAGATCCCTTCTGGCTTTAATTACCCCATAATTCCGTCATGCCACAAACGGGACAAACAGCTCCTGCTTGGAAACACAGAAGAATAAACCCCAGCTTGATTAATAATTTAATCCAAAGTCTACAAGTGCTGATAGCTGCTTATTGCACAGAATTAAACCTGCCTCGACAATGGACAGGAGAGAAAGCTGCAAAGCATCACTGAGGAGTCCAGGGCCAGGTCTGCGTGTGTGGTGCCTTTCAAGCTGTGCCTCCACACAGGGAATTCAATCCCTGCCTCTGGAAAGGGCAGCAGTTGCACTCAAGATGATAAAATATTCTTGGGTTTAGACCCTGAGGTCTTACCAGCCATGGCTGCCTCATGCAGTATTTTTACTGTTGTGGTTCTCTGCTCATTTAATGGTTTGTCTTAGTTGGCAAGTTCTTAACACCACAGGTCAGTGAAATGTTCAGGAAATAGAGATTTTTGTGCTGCTTCAGGGCTATGAGACTTAGCATTAAACCCCGATGAGAGATCTGATTGTGTCAGCACTCTTTGGGGGAATGAATGAGTTGTTGGAAGAAAGTAATTCTACCCTTCCTAACCCAAACTGCCATCATACCAAAAGTCCTGCTTCAAACTGGGGGAAATCAAAACGTCAGGCTGCATTAGGAACATTCGGGGTGATTCTCTGCAGCCCCTTATAGGACCCTTTTTAATTAGCCAATTAAAGGTTTTCTGAACCAGTTACAGCCTTTACACATTATTCAGGATCCCTTACTCATGACTTTGGGGTCAGTCACTAGCAGGGAAACAAACTCACTGCTTTATTTGAACAAGCATGACTGATGGACTGAGAGGCTCAGGAAATGTTCTTTGCAGTTCTCTGCAGCTGAAGACTAAATATACTATTGTGCTGATTCTGGATGGGATTCCACGCCTGCATGTGATTTTAGGCCTGCAAATGTACACTGCTTTTCAGTCAAGCATTACACAAATTACCTAATGAACAACCTGTTACTGGCTCCCCAGAGAAAGGCAGCCTGGTGACCAGAGGGGCAGGGCTCTGACTGCACATTTCTGCAGAGTTCTGCACAGTTTTGCACATTTCTGCACATCTCTGCACATCTCTGCACAGTTCAGTTCTGCACAGTTCCCCCTGGGCCTGCAGGGAACTGTCCCCATTCACTCTGACTCTGAGAAGGACTTCCAGAAAAGCACAATTACCTCTGTCAGCTTTTATCAGTAGATGACAGACATCTCTGGAACACAAAGAAGGGTTTTTAGAGCCACCCCAAGAACAAAGGGAGGGCAGTGAATGGTTTCCAGTAGGACAAAACCACTCTGGGCAGCAGAAACCTTGTGAGGAACTCAGAATCCCTGCTGCTCTGGACACATTCCAGACAAATTCAGGGACAAATTCTGATTTCAGCTGGAAAG